TTTAGATTTTTTCCATTTTCAAACGATTTTATAAATAATTTATATCCGTTTTATTAATTATGACGTATTTTTATAATATTTCTTTATTTTTGATACCATATTTAATTAATTACACTAGGTAGTTATTAAATTAGGTCCTTTTTACAACTAAAATAAAATAACGTTAACTACAAAATTATTCACTCCATTAAGCAAAAATTTAAATTTTATTAAAATTATTCACATACAACAATTCTCAAATTTTGATACTAAAATTATTTGATTCTGTCTAGAAGTTGCTAAATTGACATACCACAATAATAATTATTATTCTTAAATTTTGATAGTAGGACCTACTACCAGGTAGTTGATAAATTATATAAATATAAATATATATATATATATACATTAGGGTGCTTCAAAAAAATTTTCGCTCTTGCCCTCTCAAATGTTTTTATTTAATATAAAGAAAATCCTCACCAAATATGAGCGTTCCAGCTCAACTCTAAGAGGTCGATGTTTTTATTTTAGTTTCCCATTGAATTAACATGGGAAAAAATAATTTTATATTTGGAATTTTATACCTCTGTATCAAAGTAACTTATGGCAATGATTATTGCAGTTTCTTATATAAAATTTAACGCTCTACAAAAAGGGTCTCTTTATTTTTCGATAAATTGATTTCTTCTAGAGTTATTCGAGGTCAAAGTTTGATTAACATCAAATTTTCTGTTTTTTTTTTTTAATTTTTTGGTAAAATTAGCAGACTTGAGGTGGAAGTTTGATTAACATGGGGCACCCCATTTTGCCCCCCCCCCCCGCTGCCTTGTTTTGCCCCCTTTCACCTCCCGTCTGCTAATTATACCATAAAATTAAAAAAAAAAACAGAAAATTTATTTGTTAATCAAACTTTGACCTCGAATAACTCTAGAAGAAATTAATTTATCGAAAAATAATAAGAGACCTTTTTTGTAGAGCGTTAAATTTTATATAAGAAACTGCAATGATCATTGCCATAAGTTACTTTGATACAGAGGTATAAAATTCCAAACATAAATTAATTTTTTCCCATGTTAATTCAATGGAAAACTAAAATAAAAACAGCGACCTCTTAGAGTTGAGCTGGAACGCTCATATTTGGTGAGGATTTTCTTTATATTAAATAAAAACATTTGAGAGGGTAAGAGCGAAAATTTTTTTGAAGCACCCTAATGTATATATATATATATATTTATATTTATATAATTTATCAACTACCCGGTAGTAGGTCCTACTATCAAAATTTAAGAATAATAATTATTATTGTGGTATGTCAATTTAGCAACTTCTAGACAGAATCAAATAATTTTGGTATCAAAATTTGAGAATTGTTGTATGTGAATAATTTTAATAAAATTTAAATTTCTGCTTAATGGAGTGAATAATTTTGTAGTTAACGTTATTTTATTTTAGTTGTAAAAAGGACCTAATTTAATAACTACCTAGTGTAATTAATTAAATATGGTATCAAAAATAAAGAAATATTATAAAAATACGTCATAATTAATAAAACGGATATAAATTATTTATAAAATCGTTTGAAAATGGAAAAAATCTAAATTACTTAATTATTTTTAGGTTATATTTTATATAAATCAAATAAAATATTTCTTTCGGCAGGTTTTCTGTATACTAAATAATTTAAGTGTTATTTTCTTAGTTTTTTTACGGTACCATCATAGTGCGATTCCAATTGTTGCTTATTTTATAAGATGATACGTTTTTATTAACAAATTATTTTTTTTCATGAAAAAAAAATATTTTTCTGTAAAGTTCAATACATTGTCTCAGAGGGTATTAAAAAACTAGGTAACCCTTAAATTTTTAATAATATCGATTAAAAACTAACGGAGTTATTTACTATTTTGTGCAGTAAAAATTTCGCGGCTCGAATGTGCAAAAATACGAAAATTGATTTGAGCGACCTCTAAATATTCATCGAATTTGGATTTTTTGGTATCAATATTTTAGTTTTAATGTAATCTTTATAATTTAGGCCAGTGCGGGTTCATTTTTAAAAAAAGGCTTTCTTTGAATCACCCTAGTATGTACATATAACTTATATTAGTTTAATAATTATTATTTCTGAAATATTAAGATATTTATGTTTTTATAATCTATAAAAACATTATTTTTTATCAAAACTGGAAGAGTTTGTCCGGCAAATGTTTTACCTTGCGTCATCAATCTATAGAATAGGATAGAATTGTTAAATGCCAGCACCGCAGCCTTAATGCTCAATTTTCAAAATTAAAGAAAAAAATTCTCTAAAAATTATAAGTTTCGAAAAAAAATAGTAATTATGGAAGTTGAAAACAAAAACACACATTTTTAAAAAGACGATTTAAACTTTAAAACTCAAAAATTTGGACTTAACCGCTTCAAATATTTTCAATATATTTTTTTTCGAAAAGTACATTTAAAAACGAAAATTTTATATAGAATGAACATTTTGATTTGGACCATTTCTTAAGAAGTTATGAGCGAAAATTTGATCTTTTGAACCCGTGATCAAAAAAATCTCAAAATTTACTGAGAAAGCTCTTTTAAGGAGTACTAAAAAATATAAAAAAATTGGAGGAATAAAAAATTTTTTTTGAAACCATCCGATTTGGCGTGGAAAGCCCCATATATATATATATATATATATATATGTATAATATACATATACATTGTATATATATCCAAACAGATTATTGGAAGAAATATTTCTTTCAATAATCTGTTTTTGGCATTAAAGAGTTAAAAGTCCAAATTTACTTAATTTATCCCTATTTACCACCTTTGTTTTTTGAAATCCTCAACAAATTTCAATTGAAGACCGATGGCTGGAATTTTTCAATTGCTTGAAAGCTATTTCTTATCAAACCATGCAGGAGCTTTTAAATGTTATGCTGATGCGAATTTGTACTCTGTCTTCCAGGTAAACGCCCAGCCGATTATAAAGGCACATTTGGCCTTTTATATTTTATAATATTTATATTATAAAATATAAAAGCTATATACATATATTTTAATAAAAATTTATTATTTATTTATAAAGTAATAAACAACCTTATCAGGCATCTGATTTAAAATGTCTTAATCAATCAAAAAATAAAACACTAGGTAGATGATAATAAAAGCTTAGCAGGAGAAAAAGTGTTTGACGTCGACAGCAGTGTCAGTACAGACTGACACACGAACAATAGCGCCGCCGTTCTGCAGTTCCCCCTGCGCTTATTTTGGGGGGAAAACTCCGGCGTAATACCTCGCACAATTTCCGGTTCTCTCCCAGGGGAATGCTGGCTTAGCTTGGGCACGTACGCCACTGAACAAACAGGTACTATTACGTATTTTAAAATTTAAATCATTAACCGAGGCCGGCATACGCCCAAAGGCGGTATTAAAACTTTAAAGTGTGCATTTATCTTGGTTTTATGAGCTTTTGCCCTCGAAATTATCTCCTGCAATTTTTTTGTTTTCATAAAAGTGGAAAAAAGAAAATATCTAAAAAAGCATTAATTTTAGACGATCCTAAGGGCTTTATTGATTTTAATATTATTATATATTAAAATTGTTTTTTGTAAATACTTTTCTGTACCCAAAAACTGCTTCTTATTTAACTTAAACAAGTTGACGAAAAACTTGTTTAAGAAAGCTAAAACAACGTACTTCAATAAAGTGGAATAAGGATACATAAAGAAAACATTTACTTTTATGTCTCATAAAAAAACTAGGCCAAATTATATACCGCCAGGTAATAAGAGTTAAAAAGATATTTTTAAGGATATAAATAACTCCATTTTAAAAATAAACATGTTAAAAGCTTTGGTTATTCATTTAAATTCTTAAGTAAGGTTTGTTTTAGCATAAAACTTTGTAGGCATAAGGTGAAAGATGTAGCCACCTATCCCTTTGACCTTTTAAAACTTGTGACATTCTCAAGACATGCTTAATTTAATTTTGCTTTATGTCGATATAAAAAGGCGAAAAACGTAAAATGCGAATTATTGACTTTACAATTTAGTTTAAAATTTACCTCTAAAATGTATTTTTAAATTTGAATTCAATATAATTCATTTTGTTAAATTAAATGGTTTAGCATAAAATAAAATATATTAAAATAATAAACTATATTTTACTCACCGAAAATTATGCTTTCAACATTCGAATAATTTTTCAATTCATATATAAAATACGCAACAAAACAATGTTTGGTTAATATTATATTCAATGTTTATTCGTTTTTTTTTAGGTGGTATATTAAAATTATTTACGCTATTTTGTTTTATAAAAATACTACCTTCATTTATATAAAATACATATGTATACAAATTTTAAATGTCGAATATTTTAATAACGCACAAATAGCATACAGAATGTTAATATAGAATATAAACAGTATATGGAGCCTACATAATGTAGTTATATGTAAAACAGCTGTAAATAGAACAAAATGCTGGATATTTAAAAATATTTTAAGTATGTACATACATACATAGGTACAATATACGATTTTTAACACCGAATCAGAAAGAAAAAATAAGAATTTTAGTAACGTATTTTAGTAACGTATTTTTTCTGAAATCATTGTGTTTCTATGCAGTTTTGGAAAATCCAAGTATACGAATACTTTTTGGGTCAAAATTTGTCAAATATACCACTATTTTTTTAAAGGTCGTGATTTTTAGTTAATTTGATAAAATAATTCCCTTTACGGTTTTTCAATTTCTTTAAAATTTATTGTTATTTAATTTTTGTAACACTGATCAGGTAATTTATTAATTATACCTGCCGATCTATACAATTTTGCTGTTAATTTTTATACTGCCCCCGCTAATATGTTTGTTACAAAATAAAAATTGTTAAAAAATGTTGCTAGCAAATTATTGAAATAATTGCTTGTTTTTATGTTCAAAATTTAGCTCGATAATGTATTTTTAAATTTGAATTTAATATAAAATAAAATATATTAAAATAATAAACTAAATTTTACTTACCGAAAATTATGCCTTCAACATTCGAATAAATTTTTCAGAACGATATTTTCATTTCATATATAAATCTGCAACAAAACAATATTTGGTTAGTATTAGTTTTTTTAAAAGTGGTAGGTGTATTAATAGTTATTTATGTATTAAGGGCATAATAAGGTTTTTATGGTCCGAGGCGCTATTTCGAGCCCAAGCGCGTTAGCGCGAGGGCTAGAAAAGCGTCGTAGGACCATAAAAACCAGTTATGCCAGCAATGCATACAAAACTTTATGCACGATTAATATATTATTATTTTTAATATATTATTGTTTTTAAAGACGTTTACGTCAAAGAATTTTTGTTATAATTTTCATATTATAATGTCAACTGACATCAGTCAGTTTTAAAGTTTAAAGATGAATGAAATTGAGGAAGCAGCTGAAAAGGCGAAAAATTGCGGCCTGCTGCCGAAAAAATCAAAATCTTTATACGAAAAAACTTACTTCGAATATATCAAATGGTGTAACATTGTTGTTTTTAATTTTTGACGTTTCATTATAGCCCGCCGGGTCATAATAACGCCCGCGGGCTATAAAAAGACGTTTACGTCAAAGAATTTTTGTTATAATTGTCATATTATAATGTCATCGTGCATAAAATTATTTACGCTATTTTGTTTTATTATTACCTTCATTAAAATAAAATATAAATGTATACAAATTTTAAATATCGAATATTTTAATAACGCAAAAATAGCATAAAGAATGTTAACAAGAATATAAAAAGTCTATGTAGCCTACATAATGTGGGTATATATAAAAACAGCTGTAAAAATAGAACAAAATGCTGGATATTTAAAAATATTTTAAGTATATACCTACATAGGTACGATATACGATTTTTAACACTCAGTCAGAAAGCAAAAATAATTTTTTTTAGTAAAAAAGTATTTGTTCTGGTTATTTATGACTATTAACAAATTAATTAAAAAAATATAATCTATCAAACCATCAATGTCTATAAAAACTGGTCTATAAATATTTGATGAGAATCATAACTTTTTTGTGTGTTTCTATGCAGTTTTTGGAACATCCAAGTATCCGAATTCTTTTTGAGTCAAAATTTGTCAAGTAGGCCACCATTTTTTAAAGGTTGTGATTTTTAGTTAATTTGATAAAATAATTTTCTTTACAATTTTTGAATAAATTTATTGTTATTTAATTTTAACACTGGTCAGGTAACACTGTGCAACACAAAAAATGAACTGGGATCAAATCTGAAAAAATCGAATCCAGGCAACCCCCAAAACAAATCCTTTAAGGGGTTTTACCAGTTTAGCTCGAATAATGGAGATATACATATATATATATGTACAGGGTGTTTCTTTTAACTTGAGACAGCTCAATATCTCGAGAAATACGCATTTCACGGAAAAATGTCTTAAATAAAAGGTTAATGTGACTAAAGGGGACATTATTTGGTGCTACCGCTAGCCACCCCCTACCCCTCCTTAAGGGTGAAACGGGGGGTAACTTTGGAAAGTCAAATGGAATGACCCGATTTTTTTCACAGAGTTTGGTAGTACATAAAAAAATAAATAACTTTTATTTAAAACTTTTTTCAATTTATCAACAGATGGCGCTGTAATTCAAAATTTAAGAAAAATGAGTTTCCTTGTAAAATGTATTATTTGAAACGTTTGAAAAACAAAAATTAACATTAACAACAATAGTCGGCTATGAAAACAATTTATAACAAATGTTGATTTAATTTTAATTTTTTTTTTCAAACGTTTCAAATAATACATTTTACAAGGAAACCCCTTTTTCTTAAATTTTGAATTACAGCGCCATCTGTTGATAAATTGAAAAAAACTTTCAAATAAAAGTTATTCATTTTTTTATGTACTACCAAACTCTGTGAAAAAAATCGGGTCATTCCATTTGACTTTCCAAAGTTACCCCCCGTTTCACCCTTAAGGAGGGGTAGGGGGTGGCTAGCGGTAGCACCAAATAATGTCCCCTTTGGTCACATTAACCTTTTATTTAAGAAATTTTTTCGTGAAATGCGTATTTCTCGAGATATTGAGCTGTCTCAAGTTAAAAGAAACACCCTGTATATCTCCATTATTCGAGCTAAACTAGCAAAACCCCTTTAAAGATTAGTTTTGGGGGTTGCATAGATTCGATTTTTCCACATTTCATCCCAGTTCAAATTGTAAGGTCAAAATTTGTCGCACAGTGTAATTTATTAATTATACCTGCCGATCTATACAATTTTGTCGTTGATTTTTTTACTGTCCCCTTTAATTAAATATGTTTATGCTACAAAATAAAAATAGTTAAAATAATTGTACAAGTAAATTATTGAAATAAGCAACAATTATTATAAAGAAATGATTTTTTTAGTAACTTCTTGCTCGATTTTAATGTTTATAGTGACAGATTTTGAAAGCTTTTTATTAATAACGAAGATTTTAATAAAAACATTATGAAACCTGCATATGATCGTGGTATGAGTGTTTTGATGTTGAGGCGACAGCTGTCAAAAATAAAAGTGTCAAAAATGACAGTTGTAGAAAATGGCAGTTGTGAAAATAACAGTTTTTCAAAATAACAGATGTCAAAAATGATGGATGTCAAAAATTACATCTGTCATGTTAAAATTTAATTGATGTAGGTGCATTTAAATTTTGATCTAGTTTTAGAATATTTATATTCTTAAGAACAAGAAGCTAATAAGCCTTTAAGTCTTCTTGTTCTTGAGAATATAAAGGGAAGGAGAGAGGAAAACATTGGTCTAAAAGCATTAGTCCATTAGGTAATAACTACGAGCACCTAATTCTATTAGTCAAAAACAAAGCAATTTGCGATTAAATCCCTTTATAAATAGCGGACGCAAGCCCGCAATTTGTTTTCTAGCGAGCGACAGTCGACAAATCCTTTTGAATTCGTCCTTAACGGTTCGTGGCGATTAAGTTACCGACCGGACGCATCTTTATGGCATTGACAATGAATACGTAACTGTCAAAGGACACGATGAAATCGGTTTTCAATTAGCCTTTTCATATCCTGTAATATCCTAATGGACACGGCTACCAATTAACGTCCATAATCTACGCTCGCGACCCTCCGATAACTTATCATTATTTTAATGCCCCCTCATTATAAATTATTAAGTTTGACCAAAATACCCAAATTACCGCTTTTGAAGCCGTAGAGGTCCAGTCAAACTATACATTTTAATTAACATCAAAACTAATACCGATATCATTTTAATTGTGTTATGGCCTATAGCTTATGGGTGCAACTGGTGAGCACGGAATTTTGAACATCATAATTTAGTTTTCCTTGTGTGATTCTGTAGACAAGTACAATAATGACCATTTTTGCTTTCGCTGTCAAAGTGATGAGAATAGTGATAACCGAAAGTTAGGTAACTTGCCAATTAGGGTGTCCCTTATTTTTATTTTTTTACGCATACCCTCTAATTATATTTATTACTTGTTTATATACTCCCAGTAAAAATTTCAGCTCATTCTATAAACGAGAACCCGTTCCAACTTGCATCTAAACCCTCCTTTAGCCAACGTTAGGCGCGCGCGGTATTTTGTAACACGAAACACTTTAAAAAGAAGATTTACTTCATGACTGTATTTTTCTAATGATTTTATTAAATATGATTACTAATTAATATTATTGCTTTTGTTTCTATCATTTGTTTCACTAATTTAGTTGATTTTATCCCTTAAATATATTAATATACTAATTAGTATTGCTAAAATATACTGTTATATGAAATTTCAGCTTTTTATAAGCATTTCTTTTCTTGATGTCCTCCCAAAAATATTTTAGACAGTTCAATAAGTTTTCGGTAGTCATCTCTTACAATAGACTCTTTTAGTTATTTAGAGTAATACCCATTAAGTTTATCAATTTCAGAGTTTACGGCCTATTCACCAGACCCTTCCGGGTAACTAGCCACTCCCTGTGAAAATATACATTTTTATCAAAGTATACACATAAATAAAACTATATTTTAACATTTGTCAATAATTTATAATATAAGGGTCACATAATAACAAACACAAACTGACTTACGATCGAAGACCTCGCGACCAACCGTGTTACAAAATACCGCGCGCCTAACGTTGGCTAACGGAGGGTTCAGATGCAAGTCGGCACGGGTTCCCGTTTATAGAATGAGCTGAAATTTTTAATTGGAGTATATAAACACGTAATAAATATAATTAGAGGGTATGCGTAAAAAAAATAAAAATAAGGGACACCCTAATGGACAAGTTACCTAACTTTCAGTTATCACTATTCTCATCACTTTGACAGCGAAAGCAAAAATGGTCATTATTGTACTTGTCTACAGAATTACACAAGGAAAACTAAATTATGATTTTCAAAATTCCGTGCTCACCACTTGCACCTGATTTTGATATCAACGTAATAATATTCGTTTGAAATTCCGTGTCCCCCCCCATTTTACCATACATACGAGTATAATAGCAGTTTATTTAATAGGTAGGTATGGGTATATACCTAAAAATATTGGCGAAATGCAGATATCTTAAGGAATTTTCTTCATACGCATTACATATGAATGGCCAAGCACAATATAGGTTTTCTATTCAAATATACAGAGTAACTTACTCTTGTCTTGTCTTGAAAATTTCAAGACAAGAGTTGTGTAAGTCTTGATTAAAAAAGCTTAATGCGGTCTTGTCTAGATTAACTAGTCTAGATTATTATTTAAGAGTCTAGATTATTATTCAAGAATCTAGATATAAATTATGCGCAATGTAACTCCCACTCTTGTTTTTGAACCAGTCAAAACAAATCACTTCCACCACGTGCACATACAACCCTTGCGTTTTGTTTTTGCACTAAATTAAGCAGTAAATTTATTATTATTTAGGTTAGTTTTTGTTGTTTTACTACTGGTTAAATACTAAGAAACATTTTAAAATATGGAAACAAAGCGTTTAAAATTTTCCTGTACTTGCAATGCAGATAAAAAACAAGTACAACTGCCAAATGATAATAAAAATTTTAACGAAGAAGAAGTGAAAGATCCTTTTACG